TCAAATAAGCCCAAAAGGTATCCATACCCCTCCCCCCCACCTCCCTCTAAAAATTAAAGAAATGATAGAATTAAGACGTGAGCCCAACAGACCCAGGGAAGGCCCCCGAGAGCTCCAGAGAGAGAGAGGAGAGGGAGAGAGGGAGGAGAGAGAGGGGGACACTCACTGTGTAACTTTACACCCACAGGCCATGAGCAGTATCTAGGTATTGCTGAGAGGCAGTGAGGCCTCAAGGAGCTGAGAGGAAGGTAAGGGAGCAAGGTCCAGAGCAGTGCCACAGGAAGAGGGAGGCAGGAGCAGTACCCTGGGGTGCTGAGGGGTGGGCTAGCCTAAGGGCCAAGGGCTTTGAATAAGAAGTGTGTGTGTACACCTGCAGGTGTGAAATGGTATTCCTTTTAGTAAGTACGGCGTAGGTTGACCTTTGAGAGATTTGGGAGACAGTTTGGAGGTGACCAGGATCGGGTAAAGGTAGGGGACCCAGGGCACATGACTATCTCAAAGTCTCCTAGGCCTCTGACTTTATCCTTTCCTCATGGGGTACCCACCACTGAGGGGAGGAGCCTGGAGGCAGACCAGCTGTGGGCAATAGACCAGGGACTAGCAAGAATTGGCCTCGCTCTGGGCTGTACATGTGGGGAATCAGTACAGCAGACAGTGCAAGGGGCAAGGCCCAGAGCAGGGGTTGGGGCTGCAGATGTCTCTGGGAATTATAATGGCTGAAGGCCAGAGAGGCGCCGCTTAGATTTGAAGTTAGAAGTGAGGAGAGCCTGAGGCTTGCAGAGAGCCTTCACAGGAATAGCAATCACAGATTGGGATGTAAGAAGCTGGACCATTCGGAGCACTGATGGTTTGGCAGGGACCAGGAAGAAAGCTAGGGCCGAATGCTGATGAGGCATGAGCATAGTTCAATTCTTTTGGGAGGCCACAAAAAGTTGGGACTGAAAACACCCAACTAGTTTCAGCAACATGGAGGTTGGATCACGGCCCACACCTGCTCTCCACTCCACATAGCCGCCTTCTTCTTCTTCTTCTTCTTCTTCTTCTTCTTCTTCTTCTTCTTCTTCTTCTTCTTCTTCTTCTTCTTCTTCTTCTTTTCTATTTCATTTTGAGACAGGCAGGGTCTCTCTGTTCTCTGAGCTGGACTTCAACTCCTGAACTCAGAACACGCCCCCTGCCTCAGCATCCTTGGTGCTGGGATTGCAGGCCCGCGCCACTGTATCCCACTAGTCTGCACCTCATCGGAGGGACCTCATCCTTCCAGCAGCTCCGGTCCAGTGCCTTGCAGTTTCCTGTCATTTATCGTCTGCTTAGACTGGGCACCCAACCCTTCAGCACGTCCTCTTGGCTTTACTTTCAGACTCTCCCTGAAGTCAGGCCAGCACCTTACGAGGCTGCAGCCACCACTCTGTCCCAGAGGCCTCATTCCTCTGGCTTGACTCCCATCTAGTCCAGTCCAGAAACTACCGCCCTTTAGACTGTCAACCAGAATGAATAAAATCTCAGTCTTCAGTGCTTAGGGGCACAATTAAGCTCTTCCATTCTCCCATACATCACTCCTTCCCATCTACCCGCTCTTCCAGCTCTTTCTGGAATGTGTCAGGCACACCCTCTAGTCAAGGCATGATCCTGCACCCACCCTCTGCCCAGATGTTTGAAGGTCTTCTGAGACTTTCCCCTCTAAACTTAAGCACCTCCACCCAATCGATCACTGCTCTCTCTTTCTCTCCCCACCCCCCACCAGCCTCCACCATGCTGTGTTTTATTGCTTAACGGTGGTGGGTCTGGTTTCCCCTGGTGCTGGCTAGCTTTAGGTCAATTTGACACAAACTAGAGTTATCTGAAAGGAGGGAACCTCAACTGAGAAAATGCCTCCATAAGATCTGACTGTAGGGCATTTTCTTAATTAGTGATTGATGAGGGAGGTCCAGCCCATTGTGTGTGTGGGGTGCCATCCCTGAGCTAGTGGTCCTGGTTGCTATAAGAAAGTAGGCTGAGCCAGCCACAGGGAGCAAGCCAGTAAGTAGAACCCCTTCATGGCCACCTCTGTCTGCATCAGCTTCTGCCGCCAGGATCCTGCCCTGTTTGAGTTCCTGTCTTGACTTCCTTTGATGAGGAACAGCAATGTGGAAGTGTAAGCCAAATAAACCCTTTCCTCGCCAACTTGCTTTTTGGTCATGGTGTTTCATTGCAGCAATAGAAACCCCAACTAAGACACCCCCTTACCAGGAAGGATCAGCTCCAGGAGAACAACAACTGTCACCTGGTCATCACCACTGTGTCCCAAGCTCCTGCTGAAATGGCTGTGGTAGAAGTCAATTGTATTGAGTGAATGATTGAAGGGCGTGGAGAGCGGAACGGGTTGGGGAGTGGACAACCAGCATTGCCTGGTAGGGATGTGCTGGGGAGACCAGCTCCCCAGTATTCTAAGCCAGACTCCCAAAGGGCATGAACCTACCTTCTGAACCTCCACTCCACAGGTCTAGCCTCTGGACCTCCACAGCCAAGCAGTCCTCCTGGGACAAGAAGCCACACCCAAGGAGGAGAGGATTGGATCTTGGGCTGCATGGCCGAGCAGGGTAGATTTTACTTACCTTCAGCCTTATCTGTCTACTCTGTGTGCTGATCTTTTTTTTTCTTCTTCTTCTTCTTCTTCTTCTTCTTCTTCTTCTTCTTCTTCTTCTTCTTCTTCTTCTTCTTCTTTTTCCTCCTCCTCCTCCTCCTCCTCCTCTTCCTCCTCCTCCTTTTCCTCCTCTTTTTCTTCTTGTCTATGCTAGTGAGCCTACTTGTCTATGTTCTTTGTGCCTTGGTTTTTTCCTCTGTACATTAGCTGACACATACACCCAATGAAGCCACCTTGAGAGGCTTCCCCAAAAGGATGACACATGGGTGGGCTAGAATAGACCTGGGGGCACTTCTGGATCTGCTGTGTGCCACCACTCGTCCCCTATCCCACACAGCAGCATAGCAGATCTGTGTCCTGTCCTATCTTTTAGAAGGGAAGGCCACACCCCTGAAATGTGATGGCCCATGTAGAACATGTGGAATGGACTTGAGATTGGACACAGGACACGCACAAGGGACACTGCTTTGTTACCCAGTTAGTTGGAGAAGTGCACCTTAATGGTGTCTAGGAGGGAGTTTCCACCTACCCTCTCTGGGCCTAGACACTCACCCTACTGGTACATGGACTCCCTGGGAACCTGGCCACAGTCTGTGCTCATTACACTTTAGTCAACTTGACACAAGTGTTATTTGGGAAGAGGAACCTCAATTGAGAAAATGCCTCCATCAGATTTCCTGTAAGCAAATCTGTAGGGCATTTCCGTGATTAATGATGGATGTGGGCAGCCCAGCCCACAGTAGGGTTTGTGGTGCCACACTTGGGCAGGTGGTCCTGGAGTGTAGAAGAAAGCAGAATGGGCAAGCCATGAGCAACCAAGCCAGTAAGCAGCACCCCTCCATGGCTTCTGCTTCCATCCCTGCCTCCAGGTTCCTGCCTTGAGTACCTGCCCTGACTTCCCTCTGTGATGGACTGTGACCTGAGAGTTAGAAGCTGAAATAGACCCTTTCCTCCCCAACTTGTTTCGGTCATGTGTTTTCCCTGCAATGGAAACATTGACTGAGACACAGTCCAACAAGGGGCGTTGGGCACCGGTGCTGGAGGTTCTCACCGATCACCACTCTGGATCCCCAAATCTTTGTCGTGTGTGCCCCCACCACCTCTTTGCAGCCACTACTTTCTCAAAGTAGATTTTACTTTCAATCGCCATTTGCTAAATCTGCCGCGTAAAAACCAAGCCGGGGTGGGGGTGGTGGAGGATTAAAGCTGATTACAGATGTTACAGAAGCCATCCTGTCTCTGAGCACTGGGTGGGAGTCCAGCAGGCAGGTGGGAAACAGCCCAGCTCCTCCTGGGCTGGCCCAGCCACCAGTCTCCCCCACACTCTGAGCCCCGGTGCCCAGCCTGGTAAAGAGAGCTGTGTGTCTCTTGCCTCAGCCCACCAGGGACTCCCCTGCAGCAGGCTGGGCCTCACAGGGAAGGCAGAAGAACCCATGGGGTCCCTGAGGAAAATGAGCAGCTCCTTCAAGCGCGGCTCTCTCAAGAGCTCCACATCCGGGTCCCAGAAGGTGAGTGAACTTTGCTTGAGGCCCAAGGGCAGATGGACAGCGGGGTAGAGGGACATGGGTCTCTGTTCTGTTTGAGTGTTGCTCCAGTGGACTGTTGCCTTCCAGGTGTGTGTGTGTGTGTGTGTGTGTGTGTGTGTGTGTGTGTGTGTGTGTGTGTGTGTGTTCTGTGTGTGTATGTGTTGTGTTTGTGTTGTGTGTATATATACTCTCTTCTGCATCAAGCTCCCTTCTTAGGAGGTGACCCCACATGTCCTGTCTCTGTGTCCCGTGTCTGTTGTCTCCATTTTCTCACTCAGAATGTTGCACAGATACCTTTGGGCAGTGTCCTCGCGGCTGTGAGCCATGACATCCTTTGTCTACACCACAGGACACCGTGTAAGGGCTCCTGTGCGGTCCCCTTCCCCCTGCTTTGTTCTGTTCACAGATTCATAGAAGTACTGAGGAGACTTGGGGGATCTAGGATGCCCACAGTGAGGGCCTCACCCTCAGGGTGTGGAGTACACCAGAGGAAGGGGAGCAGTGAGGCTTCTAGAAGAGGGAGGGTGACCCCGAGTGAGTTCTGAGCTGGGCCTGGGTTTCCGTGACCTCGGAGCAGGCTGTGTGGAAGTCCTCTTGTGTAAAAGCCACCTACCATGTCTGTTAGGCTGACTTGTCTTCTGTCAAAGATGACTGAACACTAGCCCAGGAGTGGGTGTCCCTAGGCTGCAAGAAGGGGCCCTTTGGATCCAGGCTACCATGGCCCATGCAACTGGGTACTGGAAACCTAACTGGGACTGACTGGAGATTAAGAAAACCAGATACAAATAACTGTAAAACTGGGATCCAGTGGGCCATGCCCTCAGATGGAGACAAACCAGCAAGCAGCCTGGATACTCTGTGTGTCTGGTCAGCTAATCTGTGTTTATTATATACAGTGTGGACAAGGAGGCTGGTCAGCCAATCTGTGTTTATTATATACAGTACGGACAAGGAGGCTGGTCAGCTGATCTCAGTAGGTGGTCTCTGCAGAGGAGCAGCCTCTGAGGGTGTGTTCACAAAGTCATCTGGGACTAGGAAGCTCTGTATTATTTGTGCTACTGTTTTTAGCCACAGGTCACCCATCATCAACATCCATACTTGGACCAGGGAAAGGCCTTGCAGTTCCCATGAATCAGAGGCACTGGTGTCCTTGACATGGCCATGCTCATGTCATGAATGCTCATTCAAACAGGCCTACACTCTTCACGCACTCGGTGGCCTGGATTGGTCCTTTGTTACTCAGCTGACCTCAGGTAGAGCCCAAGCCAGGAGGCAGAGGCTCCTGAACGCTGCTTGTTGAGTCCATGGGTGGTGGGGTGGTGTTGATCCTCTCTTCCTTCTTAGACACTTCCTCTGCAGAGGGTGAGGGACAGGAAGGAGAGAGTATGATCAGAAGGGTGCTTCCCTGCAGGAGCTCTTTCTGAACAGTGCCAGCCAGCGCCCTGGTCAGTGTTGAGATAGAAACCAGGGCAGCAGTGTGAGCCAGCTGAGTGCCCTGGGGAAGGTTTTTGTTCAAGCAGGACACTGGGTCATCATTCAGGAGCTGGCCAAGCTGTGGTCTCCCTGCACATAAACAGCTGGGCATGCATCCAGAGCCAAGTATTTCCCAGTGTCTGATGTCCCAGGAACCCGAAAACACACACAGAAAATGGGAAACTTTAAAAAAAATATTTAAGGCTTTTCCCAGTTTCAAGAATAGAGAAGATCCACCCCCAGGGGTTCTTGGTGGGTGGGGGCCAGTACATCTCTCTGTCTTCCCAGGCACGTGAGAGTCAGCATCCTTCCTCCAGAGCCTGCACACCCACGGAGGTGTCTTGTAAATTAACATTCACAAATCTACCACCACCCTTGGCAGGAACGCGACATTCACACGCCACTAGCTGTGCGGCTGCACCCACATGGAGCCGCAAGGTTCTCCTCCCCAGAAGACAGCTGCTCACGCTAACTGATAAGCGCTGACAGGAAGCAGGCTGTGCTGTTCTGGAATTCCACGTCTCTGATTGCTCTCTGCCTGGTGCTTAGCCCAGTGAAGCGGGCGAGTCTGGGTGTGGGTAAACTCAGCAGAGGGAGGAAGCACTTTGAGTGTGGTCAACATTGAAAACGAGCACCTTTCTCTTTCCTCTTCCTTTTCCCTCTTCCTTGCCCTCCCTCTCCCTCCTTCTCCCCACCCCCCACTCCTACACACTCAATTTTACTTCGCACTTAAGAAGAGGATGCTCTCATACTGGGTCGCCTTGCCCAGACTTAATACTCAGGCAGGTTCTTAGTCTTACTGCAACTTGATATGCCATGTTTTATTGATACTCATGGGAGATCTGCCATTTCCTCGATAGGAACAGAAGAGGAGGGGATTGCGGGGTGGGAGGGGAAAAATGCAGGGGGGGAGAGGTACTGGCAGGGGAGGGTGTGGGAGGAGGCTGTGGCCAGGATGTAATATATATATGAGGATGCCCCTCCCCTTCCAAGGTGACCTCATCCCCTGACAATTTATGATAACCTCTTGCATGGGCTGGCAGTGTGGTCCAGTAGCAGAGTACGTGAATTGCCTGTGAGAGACCCTGGGTTCCATCCCCTGTACTCCCTCCCCAACCTCCAAATCTGAACTCCCCAGACCCTCCCTGCCAGAACCCAACCTAGTTAAAGGCTCAGTGCTCACGTACCCTGGCCTGTTTATGACAGTCCTCAGGCCAAGAATGAGAGCCCTGAAGGGAAAATGAAGGATGGCTCTTAAGACTGTTCTTTGTTTCATGGTGTAGTCCAGGCTGGTCTTGAACTCAAAGCAATCCTCCTGCCTCAGTCTCCCCAGTGCTTGGATTTCAGGGGTGAGCCAGCATGCCCACCAGTATGTAGGACTTTTAAGGAAGTTAATCTGTGAGGGGATACTGAGGAACGAGTTCCGCGAGTACCAAGTGTGGTTTCCTCTGTTTTCGTGGATACTTGGGCCTCCTTTGTCCCTGGGGACTTGGTGCCCTTCCGAGGGGTCGTTCCTGGTCCATTGTTGTAAAAGGCACTTTTGGCCTTTGACTTGGCTGGTCAGCGATTCCTGCTAGGCAGCTCCTCCCTTGGTCTTAAGCCCCACCCCACCGCTCAAGACGTTAACCAGCCAGTGGACCTGAATCAGTGAAAGAAGGCCAGCCGCCTCTAGTCCAGGAGGCTCAGCCTTCCACAGCCCGCCTTCGGCAGGAAAAGCCTCCAGGTGGCCAAGTGGGACGTGGATGCCCTGCCTAGATTTTACTTGGCTAAACAGTACAGATTAAGTTTGGAGTTGAAGATCAAGGTCTTGAACAAATTAAATGGTAGCACAGCCTGGCAACTGTACCTTCGATTCCCTTAGAAAATTCCAGCATGGGTACTCAAGGAAATACACAAAAATGTTCACATCAGCGTCTCATGCAGCAGCAGACCAGGAGCCCGGGAGCTCATTGGCCAGGGTGAGCTGGGGCTTCTGCAGCTCTGAAGAATGGAATGCTATATAGCACTTAAAATGAGCAAGCCAAGTCACTTGTATCAACACGGATAAATCCTGGAACTTATGTTATTGAAACAATAAGCCTCTCATAGAAACTCCAAAATACACAAGGAGATTTTTTTTAAAAAATGATGTATTTCTTCAGGAAAGAGGTGGTTAGTTCTGTCTATAATCTTTCTTCATGTCCTGCATGTAAATTCTGTTTTCTGACCTCCTTCCATTTTTTTTTTAAACGGAGTTCAGCTATCAGCTAACCCGTTTTATGATTTTTAAATCAAAGCGTTGCCTTCACAATTGAGAAGTGTTTTCATCCTTTTCAAATAAGCCCAGGTGTGGCACCGAAGCCCTCAGGGCGCACTGCCTGCCACCGGCCTCAGAGAAACAATTCCACATCACTGGCTTAGCATCTCCTTCACTTCCTCAGTCCAAAAGCTGCACACAGGGGCTGGCCAACTTGCCCTACCCTCTGTACCCAAAAATCCTTTGTACCCTACCGCCGCCCTCTGTACCTGCTGCTACCCTCTGTACCCCACCGCCCTCCGTACCCCGCCGTCCTCCATACCCGCCGCCCTCTGTACCCCACAGCCCTCGGTACCCCGCCGCCCTCTGTACCCCACCGCCCTCCATACCCCGCCGCCTTCTGTACCCCACTGCCCTCCGTACCCCGCCGCCCTCTGTACCCCACCGCCCTCCGTACCCCGCCGTCCTCCATACCCGCTGCCCTCTGTACCCCACCGCCCTCTGTACCCTGCCACCCTCTGTATTCTGCTGCCCTCTGTACCCCACTGTCCTCTGTATCCCCTCGCCCTTTGTAGCAGCTTAAGTGGCAGACACACCTTGACTCAAGGAACCAAGAGCCATCATTCACCTTAGTAACCAAGCAGGAGGACAAGACCCGATTCCCTCGAGGTCACCTCACTTCTCAGAGGGTGTGGCTGGAATCTGGGGGATCCCAGTAGGCTTTCATGTTAATGTGTAGTTCTGTCCTGTGCAGGATGTCAGAGGCAGTGGAAGCATCCATCAGGACTGGGTGGGGACAGGGCCCAGGTAGGGCACTGGCATCAGGATGAGCAGGTGTGGCAGTTGGGAGCATCAAGATGCAGTCCAGGGCTGAGGGGTGTCCATGGCCTGGGTCATAACACTTACTGAATTTCCCACGAGAGCCTGGAGACCTCCAAAGGGTACCTCTAAAGAGTACATGTCACACGAGGGGCCGTGTGACACTAAGCCACTTCCCTACAGGTTGCAGGAGAAGTGCACAGGAGAAGAGCCTTGGATGGGGACCCTCGGTGGCAGCCCTGTGCTTCTGGGGAGGATCCTGGCCAAAGAGGCCAGGAAACATTTGGAAGATTTGTTTGGTTGGCCTGAGACATGAGGGGGAGGGTCTAAGGCTTAAGGAAAAGCTGCAGATGACTCAGGACTAGTCATAACTTAGGTATTCCCTGTTCAGCACCTCACAGAAACCCCAACCCAGACTAAAGTCCGGTGCACCCCGGGAACACTATTCCAGCTTCAGACCGATGGAGTTAGCACTGTGAGAGCCCTCCAGTGCACATCAGGTCACTGAAGGCTCGCTCTGAGAAGTCTTGAGGTGGGAAACCTGCATTCCAGCAGAGTTCCCTAAAGAAATCCTTTTCATTCGAGGGCCACATGACTGTTTATGGAGCCCCAGGCTAGGAAGCATCATGTTAGGGTGCAGAGAATGAGAGAGTTGACTCTTGAGAATAACCTGAGGTGTGAGCTCCAGTCCCACACAGCACAGAACAGGCCCGCCCCCTCCCACTACCCAGCACCGCCTAGAACAGTGGTTCTCACCCTTCCTAACGCTGTGGCCCTTTGGTACATACAGTTCCTCATGTTGTGGTGACCCCCAACCATAAAATTATGCCATGGCTACTTCATAACTGTAATTTTGCTACTGTTATGAATCATAATGTAAAATATCTGGGGTCGCAACCCAAAAGTTGAGAAACACTTGCCTAGAAGACACACCAAAGTGTTCCTGATGTTGCCATCCAAAGTTACTACGAAATAGTGACATTCCCTAAAAAGAAAACGTTCAGATTTCAGAACCAATAACACTGACAGAAGGTGAGGTGGAGGTGGGTTGCTGAAGCACAGGGCCCATCTCTGCTGCAGCACATTCTGCTCAGGGGCCCTTAGATTCGGGAGGGCAGGACGGCCCTGGCCTTCATCAAACATGCATAGTGTGTTGAGGCGGAGAATGCGCACGCATCCTTCTCTGAGCCATGATGCCATTTCCTTGGTGGGGCAGAGCCAGAGGTGGCACTTTAGAGATCAGGATGATTTTGTTGGCTGTGAAGGACCGCTGAACTCCCCCTTCTCTCTTACCCTACCTTAAAGCCAGCAGGTGTCCCACTCCCCAGCCCTGCATGGTCAGAGATATACTGGAGCATAACACAGCCTCTGAGCTCTGCAACCGCACCCCACACTCCTGGCACCCCTGCCTGTCCGCCAGAGTGGGCCACGGTCTGGCAGGGGCTTTCCCCCAGCCTTCTGGCTCCGCCCTGTCTTCTCCCACCCCTTGCCTCTGGGATTTGGAAATGGGCAGAGCAGTTCCACGGCTGGCTCCTAGCCAGGACTTCCCAGCCTCTGTGGGGTCTCGCACCTGCTCACATCCCCCCACGGGTCCCTCCCACACAGAGCTGAGATGTGGCTCCGGGTGAAACTAGGTTGCCATGGCATTCCACATATAGAGCTTTCACATCAAGTCTCTGACTACCCTAGCCTGTGGGACTCCTGCTTAGGGTTTTGCTGTGTGATTACAGCAAAATTATTCAATCTCTCTGGGCCTGATTTCCTCATCAGTAAAATGAGGTGGATTTTCCTGTGTCCCTCATTGAGGATGTCTTCAGTTTCCACC